CAAAAATCTTACAAAAGCAGGAAGTCGAAGGCGGTCCCAGTGCGAGAATGCAAATTTAGCACCTTTATATTGCTGGTCCACTAGTCAAATAAGGCATCTTTTCGATAAGCAGGAATGATGTCATAGTGGTAATTGGGATCCTAGCAACTCCCTCCCACTAAAATTTTCATGCGTGACAGCTTTACACATACCGTATACCTACCGTAGTCCTGTGATCGCTGTTGTGCCGGGTCACTAAGATGATCACATATTACTATGTAAAGCCCTGATAGTTAACCTATTCTCTTGGCAAAATCCACGGCCAATCTTTGGGTTGGACTATGAGGGATAGTCTGTTTTTCTGTTTTTTGGTTAGTTGTAGAAAAAAAGGAAAAAATAGGATTTGCTCGATATGCGAGTTGGCAGAATTTAGTGTAGGAAGTTTTTTTTTCAATTCTTACTACTTCGTGTTCTAATTCTTTGATTTCTTGATGTTTATAGTCGAGTTTCCTACATGTGTTTTACAGGCTCGAACAGCAGCAGCAGCAACAACAACTCGTCCAGTGTACAATCGTTTGCCGCTGCAGCAGCGTCAGGTCTTTCGTCGTCATCGTCGTCGTCGAACGCAACAACAGTTGCGGCAACTTCGCTAGCCGCTAATTCCGCCACGGTGATCAACGACAACTCGTCCACACCGTACGTGTCCGAGATTGCCGATACGACAGAAGTCGCACAGACGACGTTTGTCTGTCCGCCGACACCACAGCCAACAATAAATCGCGGAGTGCAATTTGAGATTTCCGAAATGGATGTGGTCAGTTTTTTGAGTTTCATAAGAAATTTTTCTTCACATCAGAAGAATTTAATCAGATTAATCAGAACTGCTGAAGGCACAAAATATGTAGTGTTGGCCCACATATGTACCAAACTGGTTTTGGGCCACATATGTCCCATTAGCAGTATTGGGTCATATATGTCCCATAAGCGCATTTTTTTGTTGCGCTTACTAGGCCTTAGATATCATGTCTAGGATGTGGTGCGACAGTTTGTTCATATCTGTTGCAGGCTCAGGCTTTGATGAAACGAAAAACTGATTTTGCCCCACTTTGAGGAAATTACACAATATTGAACCTTGGGCTGGCGCAGTAATATTACTGACATATATTAAAAAATGCCTAAGAGACGAAAGAGCATTAAAGCCAAAATTAGATCAAATAAAAAAAATTATAAGATCTTGATGAGGTTTAACCGTTTGCAACGAAAACAGGAAAGTGAATTGAAAATTCTGATTGCGTGGATTTGCGTAGAAGCATTCGACGAGTTCGAATATCACCTAAACTGATTTTTTTT